AGGGAATGAAGACCACAGTTCTTCCTTGCGATGGCTCCCAAAGCAGATGGAGATTCTCAGTCTTCCAGTTCGTGGTTGTGCCAAAAGTGCTTTTTTTAAAGGCAACTGGACTGGACTTTGTTTTTTTTTTTTTCTTGAAGATGTTCCACTTCTCATCCAAGAAGCTTCTTCAGCTCAGAGCTGAGGAAGCTTCTTGGATGAGAAGTGAAACATCTTCAAGGAAGAAACAAAAGTCCAGCTGCCTTTTGAAAAAGCACTTTTGGATCCCCCAAAGCAGATAATCTGCCCCTGAATCTACCAGTACCTGGATTCCTCAGGAACCTGAAACAAAAACATACAGAAATCCAATACATTTGCTATCAGTCCAGAGTGTAGGACCTAGAATTTAAGACACAGGGAGGCTAATTCCATTTGAATGTTAGTTTTTTTAAAAATCCCTACAGTACAGGCAACCTGATAATTAAATCAATTACCCAGAGATCTAATACATATACACTGATATATTCAGGCAGAAGTAGAAGAGTCATTTATTTGGAAGGCTTCCATATGGGTCCTTCCAATCAATTGTTTCTATGGAAGTTCCATTACGTTTAGACCAAGGGTATCAAACTCAATGCCCTGGGGCCAGATCCTGCCTATGGAGTGCTTAGATCTGGCCGTGGGGCCACCCTGGAAACAGCAAAGGACTGGCCCACGGTGCCTCTGCCAGAGAAAACGGAGCTCGCAAGCTTCATTTTCACTGGCAGAGGGTTGCAGGAGGTCGTCACAGCCAAAAACAGAGCTCGGAAGCCCTTTTTCACTGGCAGAGGACCAGGGCCACAGGCGCCCCTGACATCATGTCGAGCTGGCCATGCCCACTCCAGCCACACCCTTCCCTGGCCCCTCCGAGGTGAAACAAAACACTAACGCAGCCCTCAATGAAATCGCGTTTGACACCCCTGGTTTAGACCAAGCTAAGTTTACTTTCCAGAGATTTAGATATTGTTTTTTACACATTGCACAGAAAGAAAAAAAAAGGTGGAACTTCAATTGCACCACTGTGGTTGCTATCTTGATTTATTTTTGACCACATCAGGTGGACACTCCTGAATCAAAAATGGGCATTCCTGTAGTGAACAGGATTAAAGTGTTAAGTCTTCCTGCACTGGTGGGTATTAGGTCAGTGGCCTGATCCTGTACCATTGAGTCTTAAGTTTCCTCTGTGAAAAACATGGGAGGGAGAAAGCCAAAGACACTCTTGATCGGGATGTCAAACTGGCGGCCCTCATGCGTCACGTGCAGGCCACTCCCATCCCGGCTCCGCAAATGAGAAAATCATCGTGAAACGTCACCTGACGGCAGCCGTGCTCTTGATCACTCACCTTGGTTGTCCTACAACTCTCACAGTTGACAGCAGCTGTCTGCTGGTAGTTTTAATGCTTTGCTTACTTTGAAAATGATTTGGAAAAATTATTTTGGAACTTACTGAAAGGGTGGATCTCTTGCTGTTCTTTAATACAGCCACACTTTTTTTCATGCTCACATGGGAAACCTGAAAAAAGTTGGGCTGCTTTCACAAACAGCCAAAAAACGATGCGCTCTTGCAAGGGCCGGAATACTTCCAAATAATTTTGCAAAAAGTGCACAATACAAGTAATTATTTTCATCTTAGACTTTATTCCCGCTCATCTCACAAGGCAAAGCCATTCCCATTTTCCTAGACCTTCTCAAATAGGAATAGAATTTGCAAGGAAAATGTACACAAATTGGATATAAAACATTTCCCAGCTGAATGGATGTCTATGATTTTTTTTTTGCCCTTTGTAATGATTTCAGGAGTTTTAAATAACAAAGGACTAACACCAACACTAGCAGAGACACTTGTCTCAAAATGCTATCAGCAAATATGATCTAAACAGGAAATGCTGATTTATCCCTTTGGAATCACTGGTTCATTAAAGTGTTTTAGCTGACAAGTGTTAGTTAATAATTTGGTTGGGGTTATTTTAAGTAACTGAAAGAATCTTAACTTCTGTTAAGAATCTTCATCTATGCAGATAATCATTACACAGAACAGAAAACATTTGGCTTTTGCCTAGAAATCATTACAGTATTACTCTCCAGAGAGTCAGCAAGTTACTGAAAAACTCCAAACTATGAAGTCAAGAAGACAGGACAGAAGGAGTCAAGGACAAAGCACTACCATAACACTATCATGAAAACGGAATGGATGCAGTCACCACTAATCAAATTCAACTTTAAGGCTGGCTTTATGTTTAAAAACAAAAGTCAGGAAGGATCACTTCTCGGAATCCGGCTTAAATAGTTATTGGACTATTGTTGGAAAAATGAGTGATTAAAAAGTAATGCTATTATAACTGAAGCATTTGAAAATATGTCTTTTACCTGAACTGCGATCCAGCTGGCATTGACAGAATACTCCCCAAATGGACCGAACCCTGAAATCATAGAAAAAGATTTCTTTTTTACCATGATGGCATTCTGTTTCTAGGCACTAACGAGCAGTCTTAATTGGCCATTTTATAGATCACGTACATCAAAAAACAGCATGTAATTATTGTAGGTCATTGTACATTCTTTCTCCCACCAGGACTGTTTTTCTCGTCCTACTTCTAAACTACACTTTATAGGAGGTGAAAAAGAAAAGGCACCTAATGAATTTTCTGTAAGAGTTTGAAGAAGAGTTTCCTGCATCTTTGTCACCACCATGAAATTCTCGCTGAGTTCCCGTACTGGACTAGTGCAAGGGATTGTTAATTTGCTTTTGGCTTGTGCTGTATGAACTTGGTCACTAAATTCGTGCACACAATTGGATTTTATTATAATCAAGCAATCACAGCTTACTATGACAGGCGAGCTAGGTGGGACATGCACAGGGTTCCTTGACCCATGAGTTTCTCTAAAGACTCCCATCTTTTCTCCATTACTCTGTTTGAAATGTGAATGATAGCAACTTAGTTAGAATCAGCTACAGAGATTTGCCAAGAACGTGATGGAATTCAGTTTATACAGGTGTACATGCACAGAGGTTTATTTATTAGCCAAATTAATATCACAGGCAGATGTCTTTTCCTGGTTTATCAATTTAGTCAGAAGACCAAACTTACATGATCTGTGCTGTCCTTAAACCTACTTACCCATACCCAACCCTGGGCAAGTGGGCATACTTGCAGTACTTATGGTATGGTATGGTATGGTATGGTATGGAATGGAATGGAATAGAATAGAATAGCAGACTTGGAAGGGACCTATCCTTTATACTAGAATATAAATAAAATCAGGTCAAACACACTCCCAGCCCAAGAGAGTGGCAGCATTTACAAGAGGTCAGTCTATTTCCATTTCAAAGTTTTTCAAACTATGTAAAACTGAGGTATAGAGTGACAGAGTTTCCGTTGCACTAAGCCATAATTCAGTTTGTCATCCTAGTTTATAAGACAGGGCATATGTTTCAGTTAATTCAGCAAACAATGGTTAGCAAACACCGCGTATAAACCAGTTTATGTCTCTAGGGTGGCCATCTGTATTAACTATTTCTAACTTTCCAGAGAATTTGTTGCTCAGCAGTTTATTAAAGAAAGCAAAAACGTTCCTTAAATCTATTTGGTGTGAAGTCTTCCATATCGGGTTTTACACACTAAGCACTTTCTCGGGGGACAAGCAGATTCCCAAAAAAATGTATACAGTATCTGAAACTCAAAGCAAGAATGGCATGCTTTGGCTTTTTAATAAATAACTTTGTTAACTGGCAAGCCGTAACTGGAATTTGTAGATGTTCTACCTCGAGTAAAGGTAAACATGTTCGAGACATGTGAGATGTCACTTTTTTTCAACGAGGCGGTCCTCGACTTACAACCAATCATTTGGTCACTGTTCGAACTAGCAACATCACTGGAAAAAAAATGACTTTAGGGCCAGTTTTCAAACTTATAACTGCTGCAGCATCCCTGTGGTCATGTGATCAAAATTCTGGCGCTTGGCAACTGGCACGTATTTAGTTGCACTGACCCAAGGTCATGTGATCACCATTTGTCATCTTCCCAGACAGCTTCTGACAAGCAGAGTCAATGGGGGGGGGGGAGCCAGATTTAGTTAACAACTGCAGCGATTCACTGATCAACTGTGGCAAAACTGTTGTAAAATGGGACACAACTCACTGAACAACTTCCTTGCTTAGCAATAGAAATTTTCATAGCAATTGAATGGGTTATAAGTTAAGGACTACATTATTATGCTTGAATGGCTGCCCCATTGCTCCTAGAGCACCAGAGGGAAGAATCAAGGAAAAACAATAATGCACAGGCATTCAAAATGCCTAAATGTTTTTTAAAAAAACTTTTCCTAACTTTACCACACAAGACTCTTGATTGCCTACAGCAGCATATTTTTATCCATTACAGCTGAACAGGGTTTCTAAGTCTGGTATGTGTATTCAAGTAAGACAAAAACCTTATTTCCAAATAGTTGTTTGTATCACTACAAACGATTACACACATAAACACCCCAAAAATCAGTAAGTTCTTCATGTCTCAATGATATATGGAAACTAGAATGTATAATTCCAGAAGCAATTGACCTGGATTGTATCCATTTTAGAGCGAAGAGATACCGAATGATTAAAAACAAGATTTTCATCAATAGATTTCAAGGCAAAAAAGCAAGACATATTGAGAGAAAAGGGGTTGCACGTACTATATTACAATGTGGTTTGAATCATTTTGCTGCCGTTGTGTGAACTCAGCCACTGTGTTTTTTGTAAAAGCCCTATTTTACGGCTCGACATGTGGTGTAAATTAAACCTATTGTGGTTCATTGATTATACCATGGTTAAACTAATTCCATTTAGTGCAACATGTGAACTCAGTCAGACTTATCATTTGACCCAGTCACGTCCGTCAATATATGCCAATCCCTCAAAGACATTCTCCAAAAGGCAGTATTTTGCCAGCATGCCACTATAATATGTGTGTGTGTGTGTATGTGTGTATGTGTATATATATTCTTTTTTGTCAGGAAGAAGAAAAAAAGGGGTTTTCACCAAGGTTTCTGTGCCTGATTGTACTCACTGGAGAAAACCAATTAAGGACAAACTAGGTACATCTGTTCTGATGCCAACGTTTTTAATTCTCTAAAAAGGTTATGTTCCCAGAATCTTCCCTCTTTTTGAAAATATAAAGTTGTAAAGGCTATCTGTAATTCCAGGGAACTGGACATTCTACAGGTGCCGGATACATAGCCAAGGCACCAAGAAATGAAGAGAACACCCCCGCCCCCCTTCTTGCTCCCCTCACCCCCAGGCAGAAGGCTCCTTTGTGCTCCCTTCTTTCCTGCTTAACCAAATGCTGTTGCTATCAGATAAGAATTCAATAGAGTATTTTGGAATCCCTTTGGGCACCCTCTCACTGGAAGCCGCCAAGGCCAATTAGCAGGAAACCAGCTGCTCCCAGCTGCCAGATTTTTATGGGATTAACTTGATCCTGAAAGGAGCTACACGGACACGCACATGTTATTCAGGGCACTTGGCATGAGCTGGTGCATCAGAGCATGCCAACGATATAGGTACCAGTCAGACTATTTGAAGATTTTATCCTGACAAGGACGCAAACGGTCTGGAAAAAAACTGCTTTGTATTCTATATTCCACAGGTGTGTGGCTACTTCATGCCACGGAGCCTGAACCGCGGCTTACCAGAAAGCTCCCATTTCAGCCTCTGCAAGGGGACATCATCGCCTGGCACCCCTGCCAAGAGTTCACTGGATTCTTCAGTAAATCCCAAGGGCGCCTCCCTATTGCCACAACTCCAGCCACTGATGGGGCAGGGCAGGTGGAGCGGCGTCCGTCAGTCCCCCCCCCAGTCAAAAGACTGTTCTTATGTCAGCCTCACCACTAACAGCAACCCCCTTTTGTGCCCCGCAAGCCTTTCAGAGATGGGCCTCTCCTTCTCGCAACTTCATGTCGCCCCTCCTCTCCAGCCCAACTTGCTGTTTCAAATAACCACTGCAGGGCTCTGAGCGAGCTTCAAGCAGTTACTCTTCCTTTGAAAGCAATCCTACTGTTACTAGGGTGCGGTTTGGGGGCGACACTGATTTAGGAGCTCAGGACCCCGGAGGGAATCACACGGGGGCGGAGGTGGGGGGAATGTGACTTCAAAACCTCTTGAATGACTTCAGATTTACCAGCTGCCATCAGACTTGTCTTTTGGGAACAGAAGGAAGGTATCCAACAGCAGAGAGGGGGAAGAAGGGAGGGGGGAAGCTGTCACACAAAACCAATACACAGATCTCACAGACAAATGTCCACACAGAGAGAAGCATACTTCACATTTCATGGGATTTTTCATGAGAACAATCAGATATTTCCCCCTTTAAAAAAAAAGGGGGGGGGAACAATATCTGCCATATTACCAACAAGTAGCACCACCTTGAAATGGTGGCAACAACATACTTTCTATATCAGAATGACCCCTAGCCTTCTTCTAAAACAAGTCACACCCAAGGTTGTGCAATGAGAACTAGAGCACCAAAAGACACATTTTATGTGCATCTTACACAGAGAGGGATCCCTTCTCTTCCTCCTCCTCTCCTCTCCCTTCACCAACCACTGCTAAGGAGCCTCCTTGCTCATCCGCCCCCAAACATTCATTTCCAATAAACTCAAGGGTTTGTTTTTTTTTTTGTAGAAAACAGATGAAGAATTATGAATAAGAAAAAGTATATAAACAAACACGACAAAAAGCTTCCCACTAGTTGGCAACAGCCTCTGGGGGGCATTATTACAAGAGGCGAGTTAGCAGCAAGGCTAAAGGAAAATTAAAAAGAGAATAAAAGAGACAGGCACTGGAAGAGGAACACGGGGAGCAAATCATGGGTTGGATACATTCGGAGATAAATCAAACAGGACCGTTTTTAAGGAGGATGGCATTACTCGATCCAGTTAATCCGGAATATCAATACTCCGGAGAACGCAACATTCAGGAGGGGAAGGGGGAAAAGACACACTTCAAGTGGAAAACCACAGACTCAGAGTTTAAAATAAAATAATTAAAAAAGGACGACCCACTCTGTTTTATGCTTAAAAGAGAAAGTTTATTCAGGAATAATAAAGGAGGAACAAATGACTCGATGGGGTCTATTTTTACATTATACATCTCCCCTAACCAGCAAAAGGAATGTCAAGGTTTTAATGTTCATGTTGGGACCAAAAGAAAAGGGGAACTATTTTGGGGGGTTACTTAATGCGGGGGGAAGACGAAGCTCAACCCTCACTTCCCTCCCCCTTTGGAATGGTCCCACTTCTCACAGCCCCCCCCTTCCTGTTATCTCTCCCCCCCCCCACCCCACGCCCTTACCAGTCACCACTACGGGCCGCCGGGTCTTCTCCATGGCTTTGCTTCCTTCGCTCTCTTCTGCCCGACCAACTTGAGGCGACTGACTGAAGGAGTGAGCAGCAAACCCGCCCCACTCGGGGCCTAGACCCCGCCCATTGGAGGAGATCGCGTGACCACACCCAGGCCCCACCCACTCGCGGCAGAAAGAGGCGGAGGCACAGCGTAGGGAAGGAAAAAACCATAGACGAAGAACGTTTGCAAGGCTAGAGCGGCACAGCGGACTTACACCCTTGCTTTTTAACAGTGCAGTCACAAAGCCCGTTCTTTCCCAATCTCCTTCAGTACAGAAGGACAGAAGAGGTTCTGCTCCATAAGCAACATCGTCCTTGCTAAAGTCCATTGATTAATGGCCATGACTTCCATACCAAAGTCCCTTGGGAGTTGTAGTTCTCTCCCATTAATCCTATTAACCTTTGGTCTAAGACCATTTTTATTTCTATAATGGTATTGTTGCTGCTTTATTATATGCTGCATACAAAGAAATACATACAAAATAATTGTATGGGAATGCCTTACCCAGGGACTATCATATCTAGGCTTCAAAAATCCAGATGAATAGCATATTGTTCTTGGTTGTCTTTTTACAGCCTAGATCTATTAGGCCAGTGTTTTTCAACCTTTTTTGTGCAAAGGCACACTTTTTTCATGAAAAAAATCACGAGGCACACCACCATTAGAAAATGTTAAAAAA